GAGAGCTTTTATTGCCCACGAGGACAAAAGTAATTGTTTACCCTTTGTCCCTAATTCAATCAAATCTTTCTACTCAGTTCCAACGGATAGAAGCAAAAGCGTCTGTTTCCGAGACCCTTTGTTTCTCCCTGCTCCGACAATCACAAGGAAAATGATTCAATAATTCGTACGACAGGCTAGCCAATGCACACTACTCTTACATGTACCAAATGAAAAATGGTAGAAGCAGCAGGCATACAAGAAAAGCAAACCCAACAATCCAAACCGGCGACGAACAGAAAAGAACAGCCTTCTCCGGTCGTTGGAGGAGTCAAACACAAACGCTCACCCGTAAATTTTTGTGTACCATGTGAGACATTCTCCATCCACCTTGTCTCTGTATAGATTGTTCACGAATTAGGCTCTCGGATAATAACAGGCAAGCTTAACCAGTCTCAGAGAAAGTAGTCTGGTGCAGGTTTCTTGGCAGGCGCCCCTCTTGATTCCTGCATTTTATCACCATCGTTTAGTGTAAAATACAAGGAAAGTGAGACAGCAGAAAAAAAAGAAAAAAAAGAAAAAAGAAGAAAAAAAGACAGTGGATACATTCACGGTCCATGTCACTGAACTAAGTGTTATTCTTTCATAAATTTAACTAATCATACTTGATGCTAATTATTTCCACATAATCCAAGTCATAGTCTGCATTTCAACTCTTTCCAGATTTTATTCACAATCATGTCAAGTAGAATCCTTCGAACAACCAGTGCATTTTTAATTTTTTTTACTGGCTGCATTAACCCACATAACACCAATTACAAGTGGACAACAAGTACAAAGTTTTACGGTGCTGCTCAAAATAAAGTTTCTTATTTTTCAAGAAAAATAAAAATTTTGTACACACCTGTGGGGCAGCATCAAAAACACGAAACTGCTTGTTAAGATTCTCATCCAGCTCAAGAATTGCAGCTACATTACCACATCTGAAACAGACCACCAATGACAACTCAATATAAACCTTCAAACTCCGGAAAAAGGAGAAACTTGATTGCAGACTGGTAACTTACCTGTAACAGTAATTTGGTGCTGACCAGACGGTTACTATCTGGTTATTAAACATCCATTTATACCCCTCCATTACCAACTGATGGGCACGACATATATAGTCAATGTTGTTTGCATGGTTAAATGAAGTAACAACACTGCCACCAAAGAGGAAGCCAGCACCACGTGGACTTAAACCCCAACCGTCCACGATATCTTCAGGATCTGACCATAGTAGGTCACACATGCCACCATCATGAGGTACTTCTTGCTTCCTATCAATTGTTCGTATCTGCCAAACAGAACATGTTGGTCGGTTAGCATACAAAGGAGAGACTAAAAACTAAATTAAACATAGTAACAATTCAAACTCATAAAGGATTCTCAAACCTGATCCAGAGTTGTAATGGCAGGAGAGAGACTACCATGTACGCTGAAAATCTTATTTTCAATGAGAGCTGACAGACTGCATGAAACCACCATAAAAATTCAAATTATATGTAAAGGAGAAACAAAATAATATGCCCGAGCCTCGGGCTCTATTGGAAGCAGTTTAAATGAAGACTAAATTAAACTGACTAATGGCCTGTATTGGGGTACAAAAAGTTTACTTTGAAGATGTAGTACTTGCTTCTAAACAAAGGATGCATAGATAAACTGAAAAACCAGACACCTACTGAGTTGAGTGTGGAGCGATGGGTAGTGTGCCAAAAAGAAAAGACACTGAGAAATATGGGAATCAAACAGTTGGAAAGATTTTGAGAAAATTAACGCATTAAATTAAGAAATTTCTAGCAATTAGTTGATATGGGAAATTTGTTAAAATGGTGTAGCGACAGTAAATGTTTTATGAGACTAAAATGGCAACATCCAGTTATAATGATCTCAACATCCAATTTGGATGAAATTTTAAAATGGATTTTAGTAACTTTTTCTCCTTTTCTATAGGTAAATTTGAATCCCAAGATCTATCACAGTCCTGCGCCACCCACCTGTTACCTCAACTAAGGCCTAGGGGATCCTTTCCAAAAGAAAGGAAGGGTAGTTTTGATAACTAATACAGGGTTTATTTCACAGATCATAATATCCTACGATCTCCTTCACAAGAAAATAAACTGTCATAACCCTTTATGAAATGAGGTTTCCACTACGAAATACTAATCTGTCCTAACCCTCAACAGAAAAATCTTATGTGATAGAAAAGGGCAAACCTCAGATAATCGAATATATCTGTGCAATATCTCCAAACATTGACGGATCCATACTTTCGTAGACATTCATCGTAGAATCCATACACCTGTCTAGAAAGGATAACTCAGTAAATATTCTGAATGGGTAAGCACTAAACAGTAGGCACCAGTAAAAGAGACTTAACCTGTGTGATCTGACGACTCTCGTGGTTTCCTCTAATAAGAGTTATCCGATCTGGATATCTAACCTGAAGTAATTAATTTGGGTTAAAATAGTAAAAAAAAAAATGAAATAAACTAATGTAACACGGGAATAAATGCACGAGCTATAGTTATTGTCAAAATCTAGCATCACTATTGTTGATGCACAAAACCGGAGGTCTTGGAACAACGTAAAGCCGACCGTGAATCTGCAAGAAAGTAAATAACACAAGATGTATTGTGGTTCACCCCAATGTTTGGGCTACGTCCACACTGATATTGTATTTCTTTGAGATGTTGAAGAGGGAGAGTGAGCTTCTCTGTTATCCCGTGGGATGAGAGCTTTGAGAGGATGAGGGGGCTTAAGAAATGGCCTCCCCCATTGTGAGGGTGAGGAGTCCCTTTTATAGAATAAGGGCTCCTCACTTATTACATATTTGCCCCTTCCTTTATTACATAATTACACTTAAGTCCTCCGAGTATTTATACGAGATCTAAATACGGAGACCCTAAGTATGGTACAAACAATAGTCCCCCAAGTCTTCAGTCAAGAGAGTCTTTTGGCTACAGACTTGAAATTCAGTCCATGTGTGGGCCGAAGTAACTAGATGTCATCTAGGACTGATACTCGATATGAGATGGTGCTCAACTAGAAGTAGCACATGTTGCGAGGCTGCTCGGCTTGTGGCTTATGTTGCCTTGGTTGGTTCGGCTTGTGGCATTGAAGGTGAGAGAGTCCCTTTTATAGAATAAGGGCTTGCTCCTCAATACATAAATAGGGGCTAGAGTTGATGCTCGTGACGAGGCGGTTGCTCAGCTGGCGATGATGCTCTCTAATGAAGGTGAGGAAGTTCCTTTTATAAAATAAGGGCTCGCTCCTCAATACATAAATAATGGGTTAGGAGTGATGCTCGCGGCGAGGCGGTTGCTCAGCTGGTGGCGATGCTGTCTAATGAAGGTGAGGGAGTCCCTTTTATAAAATAAGGGTTCGCTCCTCAGTACATGAATAATGGGTGTTCTTTAATGAAAGTGAGGGAGTCCCTTTTATAGAATAAGGGCTGCCTCCTCAGTACATAAATAATGGGCTAAGTCCCCAAGTATTTTTCATGAGGCCCAATATATGGTACATAGTGTAGTCCCCCAAGTCTTCAGTCAATAGAGGATGTTGGCTGGAGACTTCAAATTCAATTCATGTATGGGCCGAAATGGTGGTTGTTCGGAGGTGGTCTTTGTAGACCATGCACTGAAGCTTTGTAAGTTGAAGCTTTGAAGCTAGAGCTCTGTAAATGAAGCTTTTGAAGCTAGAGCTCTGTAAATGAAGCTTTCGAAGCTGGAGCTTTTGTAAATGAAGCTTTCGAAGCTGGAGCTTTTGTAAATGAAGCTCTCGAAGCTAGAGCTTTTGTAAATGAAGCTTTTGAAGCTAGGGCTCTGTAAATGAAGCTTTTGAAGCTGATTGACATGAGTGATGCTCATGAATGTTTATGTTGATTGACATGAGTGATGCTCATGGATGTTGACATGAGTGATGCTCATGGATGTTGACATAAATGATGATCATGAATGTTTATGTATGATTAACATGAATAATGCTCATGAAATGTTTATGTATGATTGACATGAGTAATGCTCATGTATAATTTTGGAGTACTGGGCGTACTTTTGATCACTTGGTTGGTGATAATAGCGACAGGCTGCCGAATAATTTTGGAGTATTGAGCGTACTTTTGATCACCTGGTTGGTGATAATAACGACAGGGTGCCGAATAATTTTGAAGTACTGGACGTATTTTTGATCACCTGGTTGGTGATAATAGCGGCAGACTGCCGAATAATTTTTTGTAGTACTGGACGTACTTTTGATCACCTGGTTGGTGATAATAAAGGGTCTAGCTCTTTTGAGCACAAGGGCCTTTGCCTTCCACATAACACTCCAGCCCATTATGTTGGGCTTGACGTTTTTTTTTTTTTATTACCCTCTGATGGGGTTTATACAGATATCTCCGAAAGGTAAGAAAAATAAATCAAATCATTCAAAAATAAGAAAAGTAAATCACATCTTTCTGGGGGGGGTGTTTATTCCTTGCTTTTGTAGTGTCCCCATGTGCCTCCCTTTTGCTTTTGTGTTTTCTCTGCAACTTTGAAGCTTGCCTCGCTTGAACCAACGAATAGGATTCATTGGTGACAGCTTGCACCTCCCTCTTTTGCTTTTGTCGTTCTCTTTTCCACCGCACCTCTTTTACTACATTTATTATTCTGTCATTGAGGTCCAGGTGCATTAGCCCTGAGAGGCTCTATTTTTAGTGAAAAAGAATTCTATGAGACAAGTAAAGTTCTTTATTTTACTTTACTTTGCAGATGGCAGACAAAAGTAAAGTTCTATTTACTTTGTAGATTGCAGATGGTGGGGGCATGGACTTGTCTTTCTTCATTTTTCCTCTTTACACACAGTCCCAAAGGATGCAGTGTGGAATGTGGTCAGGTTCTGAGAGAAGCTTTTCCCACCAGTGATTATGGTTTTGCCCTTTCATTACCGATGAACATCAAGTTGGTCTTCTTCCTCAACAGATCCTTTGCCGCTGGCGATACAGATCGGAAGACCTTCGGCGGAAATCTCAAATTCCCTTGCAAAACCGCCTGGAAGATCTCCGTCGCCGACTTGCCGTAAAACGGCGGAATCCCGCCGAGCATTATGTACATCATCACGCCGGCGCTCCAAACATTGATCTTTTCATCGTACTCCCTGCCCATCAGCGCCTCCGACGCAACGTAGTACGACGTTGAATTGCGCCACCACGACCTTCAGGACCTCGTTGCCGATGGAGGGAAAGACCTTCTTGTCATATTCAAGCCCTAAGGTTTTGAAGATCTGAGGGAGGCGAGAGACCTCGAGGCGCGAGAGTACACGGAGGGTAAGATTCACCATCTGGAGATCCTTGGTGCCGGAGATGGAGGAGGTGTGGGGTCGAGTGCGGATGTCGAAGATGTAGGGCTTCTGGAGCCATGGGATCAGGAAGTGGGTGCCTTCACCGATGGTGTCGTCGATTACTCCGCAGAAACGGTCGAAAAGGACGGCGCGCCGACTGCTGTCGATGGTGTAGAGCGAGGAGTTGAGGATTGTGGCGCCGGCGCCGAGGCCGAAGGCGGCGTGCACAAGGTTGGTGAGGAAGGACACGACAGCTTGGTTGCTTCCCATTCTGGTGACGATGAGAAGATTCGAGAGAAGGGAAATGGGTTTTTGCGGAGTGAGGGGGTGTAGGGTTTTTTTTTGCTGAGCCGCCGAGCTGGGCCTGCCAACTTTAGCCCATCATTCGTTGCTTTTGCTCGAGAGCTTCTCTGTGTGAACGTCAACTTGTTGAGTGGTCTCGTACGGTCCGTGTGAGCAAAAGTGACCGACTGTTTTTTCATCGATGCCGCCGTGACCGGGAGCTAAAACAGAAGACATGGGTGTTGCAGTGACTGTGCAAGTGTTTGGTTCTTGGTTTTTGCAGATTCACGGTGGAGGTGAAAAAATGAAAGAGAACCGACACAACTTTTCGTATCGTTTCCCACAGACGGCGCCAAATGTTGATGCACAAAACCGAAGGTCTTGGAACAACGTAAATCCGATCGTGAACCTGCAAGAAAGTAAATAACACAAGATGTATCGTGGTTCACCCCAATGTTTGGGCTACGTCCACACTGATATTGTATTTCTCTAAGATGTTGAAGAGGGAGAGTGAGCTTCTCTGTTATCCCGTGGGATGAGAGCTTTGAGAGGATGAGGGGGCTTAAGAAATGGCATCCCCCATTGTGAGGGTGAGGAGTCCCTTTTATAGAATAAGGACTCCTCACTTATTACATATTTGCCCTTTCCTTTATTACATAATTATACTTAAGCCCCCTGAGTATTTATACGAGATCTAAATATGGAAGCCCTAAGTATGGTACAAACAACTATCAATTAGATATTCTTATACAAATTCAGGTTGGAAATTTGTAGCCATAACCTTATATGTACTAGCTTGCAGTTTACAAAAACCTTTACAACAATTCAACCACCAAAGACTTGTGAGTGAAGTAAGATAAGGCATTAGAGCTTGTTTGGAAGTGCCTTTAAAATGGCTGAACGCATTTCTGGTGAAAATGTTTTTGGAACCAATCCTTTGTAAAATGCAATTGAATCCTCGAAAAGCACATAAAGTGCTTCCTGCAAGAAGCACCAGTTATCTGCTTCCTGCACAAAACACTTTAAGTGCTTTTAGAGCCCAAAAAGATTTTCGCTAGAAGTGCTTTCAGTAATTTTAAAGCACTTCCAAATGAGCCCTTAATGTAGTTGTATCATTGTGGAACAAGTTCTATCATCTATAAGAAACAAGAGAGGCAGGAAAACAGAAAATATAATAGTAAAATACCAAGTATTAAAGAAATTTAAACTTTTAATTAACCATTTAAAGACATTGCGTGCTCTTAAGACAAAAACAAACAGACTCTTAAAAACTTGACAGACTCTTTGTAATACTTGACAGTATCTTTCACACTAACAGTTTCACTTATTTAGCTATTTTTATTCCATCTTTTTATTTTCTGATTTTTGCACTATTGCATCGCTGTGTGGTTTACATGGCAGGAGATCCATGATATGGAATTTAGTGTACTTTATACAAACACCAATCTACTGAAAATGAACAGATCCTACAATTTTAAAATTAGGGTTATGTTTTCAGGCAATAGAAACAACAATTGTCCTAGAAACTTTGAAGAATGTGTCGAAAACTGCAAATGCAGTACACACAAAAAAAATAAAAAAATCAAGCGTCTTCAATGATATAAATAGCAAGCCAAGGATCTTCAAATGCCCAAGAAATCAGGAAAAAGTAAAGAGAATATAAGCCTATCACCTTCAGGGCAAGTAGGAGTAGAAATGTCTCAACAGAATAAAATCCTCTATCAACAAAATCACCAAGAAACAAGTAGTTGGTCTTTGGGCAATCACCTCCTACTTTGAAAAGCTCTTTCATGTCATAAAACTGCCCGTGGATGTCACCGCATATCTATTCATCAAAACGCAAAGAACAATAACAATTAATTAGCCTGAAGCCTGCAACGTTCAGGACTTGAAATTCATATTTTAAAGCACCATAAATTCAATAAGAAGAAATAGTTCCACTAGCCCTATTTCCCTGCTAAGCTTTCTTATCACTGCACCACCTCTGAGTAGTTCGTAACATCAAGTAATAAGCATGAATTATAGGAAAATAGGACTGCTCGTCAATAAAGTAAATGGTAACTACTGATAATGCTATATTTCGCTCCGGACCCCAAACCCGGGTCTACACGAAATTCTACAACCATTTGATTATCCAAGTAAAAAAAGGAAACCCCAATTGAAATATCATTCTAAAACCCTTATCTATTTCCTAGAATCCAATAGCAATTGAAGCTTTTTCCTTCATAAATTCAGGTAGCAAATGCACAAAAATTGAAATTAAAGACAAACCCACTTGTCTGAATCGAATTAAACATCGAAAAACATAGCCAAATCAAATCCATAAACCAAAACAATCAACGAACCCCCAAATAAATATCATAGTACTACTTCAAAGACTACCCAAAAACCCACTGAGCTCGCAATTACAGAGATATATATATATATATATATATATGTATATGTATGTATATGTAGAGAGAGAGTGAGAGTACAGTGACAGGAGCATCGACTCTCTGAACGTTGCTCTCTTCGACGAGGATTTCCATGGCTTTGAGGCAGAGAGCCTTCACCTCCGACTCTTTGAGAGGCTCGCACTTCTTCAGCTGTTCTATTTGCCGGTCTAGGTCTGACATCTCTCCCTCTCCCTCCCTCTCTCTCAACTTTCTCTCTCTACCCTACCCCCTCTTCACCCCTTCCTCAGCCCTGCACCGCCACCACTACCACCCCCAACCCTCTCTCTCTCTCTACTGTCCTCCACAACCTTTTCTATCACTCTCTCACTTCCTTTTTTCTGCGGGCTCCTCTCACTCTCAGCCCTCCAGATTTTTTTTATTTCAGTTTTGCCCACTTCCAACTTTATCGTTGCTAAAATGCCTCCGCCTCAATTTCAATTTTTAAAACAGATCACACGACAAGTCGTTCGACCCGAAAGTCACCAAGCGAATAAAAACCTTGTAAGAAAGAACCTGAACTTCTGCATCCTTGAGCTTGCGAGTTGGAGAGAGAAAGAAGAGGGAGAGGGTAGAGAGAGAAAATGGCATGGAGAGGGAAGCTATCTCAGAACTTGAAGGAGCTTAGGGTTTTGCTCTGCCAATCGTCCCCTTCAAGCGCATCCACCAGGTCCATTCAATCACTTTTTCTTTTTTATTGTTTAAATTAATTATTTTTTTTTTTAATTTATAGAAAGAGTAAATCTTTGTTTGAATTTGCAGAGCATTTGTGGAGAAGAATTACAAGGATCTGAAGAGTGCAAACCCCAAATTGCCCATCTTGATTCGTGAATGCAGAGGGATTGAGCCTCAGTTGTGGGCTAGATATGGTATTCTCCCCCATCCTTCCTAATTTTTATGGATTTTTATTTTTATTTTTACATTTTTCAGTGCTTTTTAGAATTGGAAATGCTTAATTTCATGATCGTCATTGGTTCGAGGTAGATATTAGCTCTCACTACATTTCCTTACAATTTATGATGTGTATCGTCGTTGTTTTAAGGTAGATATTAGCTCTCACTGCATTGCCTTATGATTTTATGAATAATTCCGGAATCCAACTTATGACGGCCGCTCGTTTGATTGCTATTTCGATTCTGGTATTTTCAATGGTTCATAAGATGAGCACGCACGCACGCACGCGCACGCACGCAAAAGTATATGTATTGGAGTCTGCTAATTTTAGGGCCTTTTCGATAGCATTTCTTAGTTTTGTTTTCGTTTTTAAGTAAAGATAGAGAAGGGAAAATAAGAGAATAGTGAGAACAGAGAAAATAAATCTGAGTGAGTAAGTGAGTAAGGAGAAAATGTTTTAGAGGGGATGATAATTTCAAAAAATTTAGTTTTAGTTTTATTGGGAGCTGATCAACAAGAGGAACTTGAGATTTATAAATCTCGGAACACTTCAAGATGTTTGTATTCTAAACTTGCAATAATACCCTTTTATTATAACTAGAACTATGTTTCACTTCAAGATGTTTGTGAAAACTGTTAAGTAGCGGAAAAAGAGATGCAGCAGTATCTTGGACAAATGCAGTGAACATTTTATAATTGATTGGTTAAAACTATTTACCGTGTTTTTTTCTTAAGTTCAATGCGGAACATGAGTTTTTATCTTTAATTACAAGTGATTAATAAAAAGTTTGAATATGGACTGGTCATGTGCTTGTTTTCTTCACCGGTATCATATATATGAACGAAAATGTGTATTTAAAGCTTTAGAAAGTTCTAATTATTTTGATAATGGATAACTATTGAAAATAAGTTAATTCCTAACTTAAAGTTCCAAGTATGTAAGGTTTACTCAAACGTTACCATATAGATGTCGTCTCTGTTACTCTGATGCGCTGAGTTTCAGTCACTGTTATGACATTTGTCACCAAATTTATGTATCTTGTTTAAGTTGAAGATACCACCAGAGGTCAGAAGAGAGAATTTAGGTTTCGGCACTTAGAAGAGCATGATTGCTAGCAATAGAAGATGTCTTTTTCAGGTGGCCAAACTATGATAGTTCTAGCTAGCCTCTAGCAAGGATTGTTTAGAGTTGGAGGCTAAAACTTTTATTAATTTCCTTTTTCAATTCTTCTGTACAGAATGCTTTAGAAATCCCAAGGTTTGGCTTTGCTTTCTGTTTTCCAATATCGCACATGCTATGGATATGCATAGACTAATTTTAATAGGCCATGTTAAAAATTGTATTTCAACTATGGTGAAATTTTCAATAAGCGACCTTAAAGGCGTAGGGACTCGAGTCTGCCTGCTTTCACCCTATTGGATAACAGCTTTATCTGTCTAGTCGTCATTTTGGGTGGGGATTAACAGCAAAGCGGGTTTGGGTATGTCTACTTGACGAATGGTAAACAACATTCTCTCTTCACAATAAAGTGCCTGTACTTAACGACACACATTTTGCCACACTATGTCCTGGACTCATGGTCTGATATTTTTCATTCTTGATGTACTTTTATTCAACCTATGTGTGTTCTTTTATTGGTTCTTTTGTCGTGTGCTGTTAACTTGAATTTTGCACCATATTGCTCCGTCAACTTAACCTTTGATTATTTGACAGACATGGGTGTTGAGAGGGGCGTTCGACTGGAAGGTTTGACAGAGCCACAGATCTCGAAAGCACTAGAGGAACTGGTTACAGTGGGGGAGTCTCTAAAGGCCTGATAATCGACAGTGTGAAATGAAATAAATGTACATTCATGGGAAATTCTTTCCTATGATCGCCTGCCCTTTGTTTAGCTCAGGTGTTTCTTGTGTAGGATGATTCTTCGGGTTGATTATGCGCAGCACTGCATGTGTTGTAGTTTGAATAATTCATGTATTTTCCGTCTTCCATTGAGAACAAATCTTCTGGAAATTGAGTTCTTTGGTGCCTATGCGCTTCCTTTTCGATTTTTCCGTCTATTGGCCTAGTTAGCAAGATGCAAACAAAGCCAACGTTGTGAGTTGCAAAATAAATTGCACCACCATCTATATCGCCATCTCCCTTGCAACCATCTTCACCACCGTCACCCTTGCCATCATTACTCTCCCACACAGCATTCATTGGTCCTCCCAACCGTTGCCACCACCTATACCCACCACAGCCATTGGCACCACCATTATTGCCACCAACGCCAATCACTATTGCTGTCACAACCCTCAACCACCGCCGTTGGAACCACTATCCCCACCACAAAGGCCACCATGCTAAAATATATATAACAAAAAACAGTCTCCTTCCATTGAGGGACACCTTGTGATGCTCAATATATGATGGATTCGACGATCTGATTGTTGAATTTTTTATCCCTTAGTTCTATCAAAATATCACTAAGATAATTTGTTGTAATGGAAAAAAAATAGGCAAACATAGTTTTTTCAATAAACAATCAAATGACTACTTTCTAATTAAAAGGTCACATGATTACCGATTTTGATGATTTTTTTCATAAAAGATCTATGAATTAAGAGATGAATATTCAACAGTTGAAACGTTGAAATTTATTGTACATTGAACGATCATCAACAGAAGTGGATTGTTACAAAAATATTACAACCAACATAATTTTGTTAATTGTTATAAATAGGCGAAAGTGAGAGATAACTTTTGCTAGAGATAGAAGCGGAACACGTGCAATGTAACGCACAAATGATATAGGTAAAGAAAGGAGGGGATAGTGGTATTATTGCTTTTCACTTTTGATCTGGTGTGTTGTTTGATTATATGCTGATGCTCTTTATATTGAGCCTTTCACGTGCATACTTTTACAAGGCAATTTAAGGCATGTTGAAAAACCATGCTATATAAGTTGAAGATCATGCCATCCAACAATAGTAAATCTGACAACACCACCATTTTAGTCAACCTTACTTTTTAACTTTTGACTAAACTATATAGGCATTCAAATCCAGCTTTTACAACATTAATCCTTTTCCTTGATACCACACACTTTCAAAGTTTTTATCTCGCAACAAATATCTTGGATTAAAGGACCAAACGCATTTTCAAATTATAAAAGTAAAAAAAAAAATATTTGTCGTTTCCATTTTGCAAAGTAATTCTTCAAAGATTACTAAATAACTAATAATTATTTAAGTAACTTCACATTTACTTAATTGAACGCGTAATTAATTGTGATAATCTCGATTAGCAATGTAAACCATAGACGATAATAGGACTTGGGCGGATAGACCGATGGAGAAGCCTTTGGGAACCACGACAATAACGACGCCGTATGCGACACACAGCCACCAGCTAAACAAATTATAATTCCGACGTCGGGGTCGGACAAAGATTCCGCCCTCCCTCTCTCTCTCCCTCTCCCTCTCCCCTTTGTTGTTGGTTGGTTGTGCCGCCGTACGGCGTCGTCTCCTTTCGTTAAAGTTAAGCCTTTTCCATTAATCAAATCAAATTTAATCAAACTGTCTCCATTCTCGTCTCTATCCCGATACGACCCCGTTTCGATCTCCCCATTCTCCACGACCCTCAATCGTAATCCCTAATTCAGGTAGTTACGATCGCCTCTATTTCAATCCTGTTTCTCCCATATATATATATGCTCTGTATCCAAATTTTCTTCCTTTCGTTTTGACATTTTCGATTAGGTTTTAACATTTTAGGGTCAATCGGCATTTTTTTTTGTTTTGGCGAATTATGGGTTATGTGGGATCGTTTAGGTTTGTGCATGTTGTTTAATTAGTTTTTGTTTGTTTAAATTTTTTATTTAGCATGGATTTTATCTGGGCATGAGTTGCTTTGATTTAATATTTACTTGAATTGGTTCAAATTGTTTTACTTAGCTTGAATTATGGAGTTTTCTTTAATCCAAAGGAGCTCGATTTGCATCTTTTTACTTTGATAATTTTCCTTTTACTTTTGTTGCTCTCGGGTGAGCGCTATCGATTGAGAAGACTTGGTGGAAGAATGTTTCGTGTAGTCCACTTAACTTACTTAGAATTAGGCAAATTAAGAGCTTAGTTATGGCCGGTGTCGCTGCATTGGGGAGTAAACGAGACAAGCAGGATTTTTTTATGAGCTGATGCAATGTACTGTTTAGCTGTATGTCTTGAATTTATCCGAGTTATATGAGATAGTGGGTGTAAGCTTGTGGTCCTTTATATGGGGTTGGATATTTGTGATCGAATTATGGTAGAAAGTGGAGTAGTTACTTTTTTGGAAGTGGGAAATGCTCATGATGTATATTAATGTTTTGAACTAAATATATAGAGATATTGAGATCTTGTAAGTGGAAGTTTACGCTCCAAAATATGGTGGTGTAACCGCTCTCAGCTGGATATCCATTCTCTGAGAAGTTTCTTGGTTTGCAGTCGGTCAACACAGCATTTTATTGTAACAAAAAGTACTTAGTAGTTTGGGCCGAATTTATAGCTAGGTGACAATGCTTTGGTATTGATAGGTTTAAATTAACTGGAAATTAGCTGCAGGATTACATAGAAGGAACTGCTGATTTTGATGCGAATTTATTATTGTTTCTTAAATGCTTATCAACCAAACAAGTACTGCTAATGCTATGTTATTCTTACCAAACAAATCCTTTGTCTTTTCAGCTTACTGTCAAAGATATGGTGGGTTGATAAAGTTCTTGGGGAAAAATAAAAATTGTGCTAACCAGAAAGATAAAATATCCTTACGTGATGCTATTCTAGATATAATCTGCTGCCTGTGGTTAACCTTGTAATACTTGTCATTTGATTGTTATGAGCCTATGCAAGGCCCAAAGATATCTAAAGATATTGTGTTCATTTGTACAAAAGCAATCCCTGAGTATGTTACTGATGAATTAGTGTGCCCTTTTTATTTCAGTACAATGGCATCTTCTTCGGACTCATGGATGAAGGAATATAATGAAGCAACAAAACTTGCCGATGATATCAATGGTATGATATCTGAATGGAGTACATTGCCCGCAGGTCCAGACACTCAGCGTCATGTCTCTGCTATACGGCGGAAGATTACAATATTGGGGACTAGACTTGATAGCTTACAGTCCCTTTTGTCAAAACTCCCTGGAAAACAGCATATGTAAGTCATCATAGACTCATAGTTGACTTGTTTTAATGCATGTGTCAACTGCCGTTAGAGTAAAATATAGGAACTGAACAATGTTGTATGCTCTTCTTTCATTTCCTGCTTCTATTGGTCAATGCTGCATGTGAAGGGGTTTATTCCCAACTTATGAGTTGAGTTAGTATTTCATGCTATCACCGTTTGTGATAAAACCTCATGAAACTTTTGATCAAACATGGTTAGTGTAAGATAGTCCTTTATAATGTTAAAGTGACTTCTGGCTATCATTATATAACATTCTTTTATGCTGCCAATTTTGAAACTCAGAACAGAGAAAGAGATGAACCGTCGGAAGGATATGATAGGAAATTTAAGATTGAAAGTTAAGCAGATGGCTTCAACATTGACATCCAACACTGCCAACCGAGATATCTTGCTGGGATCAGAAATAAATAAAGCTGATGCCATGGGAAGAACAGTTGGCCTAGACAACTACGGCCTTGTTGGTTTGCAACGACAAATTATGAAAGGCAAGATCCTTATTCGGATATAACGATTTTGTTGTCCTGTAATCTTTGCACATGATTGGTTTTCACAGTATTGATCTTTACATGGTATTCCTATGAAGCAGAGCAAGATGAGGGGCTCGAGAAATTGGAGGAGACTGTAGTAAGCACAAAACATATTGCATTGGCAGTCAATGAAGAACTTGACCTACACACTAGACTTATTGTACGTCCTTGCATTCTAGTACTTGTGTCTTTGAATCTTCCATCCAAAATGTAATTACTTATTTATCTAAAATTTATTTGTACTCTCAGTTTAACTTATTTCTTTCTGGCCCATTGTGCAGGATGACTTGGATGATCAAGTGGAGGTTACGGACTCCCGGCTACGGGTAATCATCTAACTCATGTATTTTAAATTATTGTGAACCCTTGTTTAGCAAATGACTATTGCACAACTCTTTCTTCCCTCCTGTCTGAATTCCCGGAAAGCAAGAAAATCAACAAAAAAGAAAAAAAAAACGTGTGTACCATGACACAACAGAAGTGTCCCTGGTGGAAAATTTTGAGCATCTTGTCGTTCATAAGTGCATTTTGATTAGTGTGGGCTGTAGTTAATTCTTTGCTTGGTATTTCTAAGAAAAAATTATTATTAAAAGTAAGGCTGACAGGAGAAACAGTAGATGCTGTCGAGTGAAGAAAATTATGTTACTTCAAAGATGTTAGGAATTGATAGGGAGACTGAAGGAAACAAAAGTAATGGGACTTAAGTGATAAATTTTTTAATTCTACTTAATTTTTTTTTTCTCATCTTTTTGGCTGCCAGTGGTTCATGTTTTTACATAACTTTAAAGTGAGGGTTTCGGCTGAGATTGTGAGGAATAACTTAAGATTTTGGATAACTCTTAGGTTTAAATCTTAGCTATAAAAATTATTTATTGGGAAAACTAGATTCTGTGCTAGGAACAGGAGCTCTTAACCTGAACTAACTTTAGCACTAAGATATGTCCTTAAATTGTATTGAGAAGGCTGTACATGAGCCCAATGTACTAGATCAATGGATTTTATCAGCCAAAAAACTTCACGATCAATTTAAATCAATGTACTGTTGTACAATATTTGGGAGTCCAAATTGCATCACATTATGCCTACTAGAATGGGCTTTAATTTGCTATTCTATTGGTTGACTTTTAGGAAAGGGAAAACTGAAAGAAAATGCTTGGTTGAGTGATAAGAGAAGAAACTTTTCACTTACATTTGTCAGTAAAGTAAACTTAAATATTTGCTGCTGCCGCTTTGGGTGGCGTTCAATTTATTAGAAAAGAAAAAGAACCCAATAAAAGAGGATGTGCATTCGAGTTTGCGACTCCTTATTGTGAAAAAAAGGGTTTGCAGACGAATTAGAATCATATAAATTAGATTCCAGATTTGATTTGAGGTCTGCTGACGAAGCTTTTAGAGCATGTTATAGTATCTGTGGGGTACTGCGATTCCTTACTGTCGCTGAAGTTGATTGTTTTGATCTTTGTTTTGTTTCCTTAAGAATTGCAATGTTTTAATGGGAGCAAATATTAATCACATACTATTTTGTCTACCCGTTAATGCCAAAACAGCGGGTGCAGAAAAACTTGGCAGTTTTGAACAAGCGCACAAAGGGTGGTTGCTCCTGCATGTGCATGCTTTTATCTGTCGTCGGGATGGTGGTTCTGGTTGCCGTGATATTTTTGTTGATCAAATACTTGTAATAATAGCAACTATAAGTCTACACCGAGTATGAAGATCTCCTGTTTGTGTGTTTTGATGTTGCTGCCGTGAATGACTTGGTGTGTTTTCTTGCTTTGAAGCATGTTTTTCAAGGCTTTGAAATGAGGTGAAAAGAATCAGTCACTAAGCAAAATTGTTGACATATTCCTTCGCCTATGAATGCATCACATGAACGTTATACATCCTTTATTGTTTCAATAGAGGGACGAACTTGACCCAACGATTTGTGGGGAATGTCGTGTTAGATACAATTGGAGCAATTACATCGAATCATATATTGTGATTAACGTTTGAAGATGTGAATTGAAATCGTGACCTTGTGTGCAACGATTAATGCTCTCACCCGCTTGAGTTGCAAGCTACTTGCTTTTGTTCATGAGAGGCAAGTAGCTGGAGGAATTGGCGATGAGTATGGCATTTTATTCATGCATTGGGTCACCGATAACAATAATTATACCAGACCATAATATTAGCGACACGGTTGCCTCTTTCATTCAGTTCAACCATACATATTTTCTTACTGTTGAAATATGTCTGAAGTTAGAATTATATAATATAAAAACAAATAATCGCCCTCGCAAGCCAAAAATGACGGTTTGGGCCTAATTGATTTATAGGCCCATGGAAATAATAAGCCCAGCTTTTGAACCTGATAATCATGTCTCTAACTTTATCACATCTATCATTTACATGCAAAACTAAATGTTTCACCAATAAGAAATAAACACGGTTATCAACGTTTAAGTAACAATTCAATTATTAACCTTTATGTCATTTAGTTTACAAAATTTTGTCAACCAATTTAGTCCTTTTAACATTACTCATATATTCTATTAAACTGCATGTGTGAAATATGGATTAAACTGCATGTGTGAAATATGGATATATATATATATATATATATATATTGCTCCACATATACAGTTATATATAATCGTGAAGCTGACGGACCCAGATGAGTTTTTGGCACTTTCTTTCTGCTTAATCTCGTTTCCCTGCAAATTTTGCTACAAAATTTCATACCCAATAGGCCAATTTCGTAGCTTATTAGGGTTTTTCTTATTAATTCGATAATTGCTTTCCAGAACCAGTGGGGTTGGTCATGATGCAAGAGGGTTTATGTAAAGAATTAAGCGAAAAAAAATTTGTCAGATCAAATAAAGATGAGCAATGTGCCGAAAGAAGCTAAGAGATCGTAGCACAGAACTTGGCATTTCCAATTTGTCCCCTGATGTTGCCCTTGCTCTTACCCCGGATGAGTACCGGGTTCGAGAGATCATGCAGGTATTTGCTTTGTTAATGCAGTTAACTTTGTTCAGTATAATTGGGCGTTTCTGTAGTTGTCGATTGATTCAATATTTTATTTTTGCAAAAAGAAATTTTATTTCAACTCATCTAACATCTTCTTACACCCAATTTACTCTTTATATTCATATTATTTTTAATTAAAGAATTAATATATCTTTAAATCCAAATTTATTACTAAAATACCTACCCAAACCTAATTAAAAAGTATATTTATCTTTACCCCATTATAATATAAAATCTCAAAGAAACTCGAAAGTGAAAAGTTTTCTGAGTCCTTTGTCTTCCCTCCCACCTTGAGCTCTTTAGAAACAGAGCTTTTTGTTTTTCAAATTTTTCTCTGCATTTTTTTTGCTTCACTGCATCTTATTTGATTTTTTGGTAAAGTTTTCTACTGGAGCTGCGTACAACATTGTAGCATTTTCCGTGGCTGCTGTTTTTGATTTATTTGTGTTTTTGTGCTTGTGTGTGTGCAGGAACGGAGCTAGACATTTCTTCTAGTGGGGACATCCGAAAACAATTAAGAAAACCTTATTATAGTATGATTGATACGCAATATGATATTAAGGATGATTTCAAATGATGATGCATCACAATTCCAATGTTACACAAATTTCAATATAGTAGTGGAAAGTGGCAAAGTGATGAGAAAAATATAAGTACATGAGAGGAGGAAGAAGGGTTTTTCAGTTTGAATTACAGAACAAGAGCATTATTGCTCATATAATATTTGATATGAAGTATAAGTAGAATGAATGTATGTTGGATATTAGATACATATATATTCTTAAAAAATAACCCGTGTATATTATATAATTGTAGTATGTAACTAAACAAATGAATTACTTGAGTGAGGGTATCTGTCCCCAGTGAGCCTTCATTGGCTCCGTCCATGTGTGTGTGTTTTTTGTTGCAATTATTTAATTTTATTTGATAAAACAATTTATCTAACATGCACTCACTAACATGCACTATCCCAAGCAATTTATTAGAAGGAAAACAAATATCAATCCGGACGGCAACAAATTGTAATATGAAGTTGAAGTGAAAGGGTTTCGGATGGGAGTGACAAACTAGGACGGCAACAACTTCCGTGATATAATGAGAATACAAGTTGCCCACCTCTACAAGATATACCCCAATAGGCCCCATTTGTACTTGGTTCCCAATAGTGGGGGATTTTGTGACATTTATGTGATAGGTACCATTTTTCCTCTTTGTGACTGCTCAGCCCAAAGCCTTGAGTATTGTCCAAGGTCGTGCTGCAGGAGGTATTCAAAACCTTAATCCAATTATGAAATCCCTTCTCTCCCACTTCACACCTCGGCACACACTGTTCTTATATTTATAATACAGAGAGAGATGTGGGATCATTTTATTAAAAAATGATATTATAATACATTATAGAATGGAAATTATAATTTGAATTATAATTTGAATATCTATTGTGTAAAACCCTCACGTTCTGCTCTGATTAACGATGATATTTTCCCTTTCTAATAATTTACTTACAGTTTGCAATAATCATTGTGCTGCGTTCCGGAGTATGACCAATTTTATTTGAAAGTTAACTTTACCATCAATACTAATTTGGAATGCCATTATGCTTTGCTTTGTAGCACTCGCGGCATACTCTGATGTCAAAAAATCTGAATACAAGGAAGAACGACTTCCTGTAGACATTAAATTGCCTTTTAAGCATGTATTGTCAAGGGAACTTCACGTATTTTCTTGCCCATGTTCTGATGTTCTTTGTGCACTTCACATAAAATAATATCTAATGCCAATTTCTCTGTGGTTGCCACTGCAGCTTTACTTTGAGAAGATTACAGAGCTTATTCGCAGGTCTAGTTCCACCCTCTTCAAAGAAGCATTAGTGAGCTTTGTTCCATGCATTGGTTCCATGCTTCACATGCTTTGTTGCCGATGAGGTAGTCATTCTAACTTAAACTGGGACCAATTGCTTTTTGTTATGCATTGTTAGTGACTTTTTCCTGAAATTGTCTCAGGTTACACGGAATTTGAATACTTTCCCTCTTCTATTTGCTTTGATGCGTCTTCTTCTTCAAAATCCTCTCATACATATTGAACCTTATGTAAGCAGTTCATTCTATCAACTGTTGAAGTACATAGATTTTGTAGCCGTATAATCTTCGATCTGATATTTCAGAAGAATTTATAGTTTGTCTATCTGCTATTTACAAGTTTCATTTCAAGTTAGATTTTATCTATATCTAATTTTGTAATTTGTTCCAGCTACAACAATTGATGCCATCTGTTATTACCTGCCCTGTTGCAAAAAGATTAGGGAATAGATATACTGACGATTACTGGGAACTTAGAAACTTTACAGCAAACCTGGTTTCTTCAATTTGCAAAAGGTGAAGACCTTTTTGATTTATTATTTGTTAAACCTATTTCTTTGTTTAAGGAAAAGATGCATGCAACAAGTATAACAATGTTGCACATTATATGCATTTGAAAAATACTGGCAATATATGTGTACCAAAAAGAAGAAAAAATTGATTATTATTTCAATTTGGTTCATCATGTCTCATCCAGTGGACACTGGAAAATCTTGTCTATATAGTCTCCAGGCCATTCTTGTAATGTACAATTTACATTTATGCAAAGTACTAAGCCAAAGGCTGGAAAGTGTATGCGGCATTATTGAATGGTTGTATGCTTTAAGTACACGTGCAAGTGTACATTAAAGTCAGGACTCCTTTTCCATAAATCAAGAACCATGTTCACTAACCTCGCTGACTCGGTCCGTCAGGTTTATAATTTTAGCAACGCTTAATCTGCCATTGTGACCAATTACCTTTGCAGACGGATCATGAGTGTTTAAAAATAATGAGATCCTGGGTGTTTTAAAAGTCTAGCCTTACGTCAAGATATTTCTATATTTATTAGCAGTGTGTTTTGGCAGAGATTTGGGCATGCTTATCACAATCTTCAACCACGTTTTGACAAGGACTCTGCTTCATGCTTTCTTGGATCCAACAAAAGCATTACCTCAGCATTATGGTGCAATTCAAGGCTAGCAGCTCTTGGTCCCAGTGTGGTACGCTCTCGTGCATGCTTTTATGTTACATGATTTTTCTCGTAAGGCTGCAGTCTCTTTCGTTTTGAAAATATTTTCTTAGCACAGTTGCATTTAGTTTTGGGTAAAGACTGTTTACCACCCTCATGTTTTGTGGTTTTCAACATTTAATACATCAAATTTTTTTCGTCTCAGATTCATACCTAAAGTGTAAATTTTGGGACAATCTCATACATCTATTAGTCAAACTATTAAATTTACTGTTAATTGTGACATGGCGCCATGACTGGGCGCCACGTATCATCCACGTTTTTTTTTCTTTTTTTCTTCTTTCTTCTGCAATTTTTTTTTCCTTCCTCCTTCTCCTTCTTCCTCCCTCCTTCCTCCTTCTTCCTTCCCCTTCTTCTCCTTCTTCCTTCTTCTTCCTTCTCCTTCTCCTTCTTCTTCCTCCGAATCTGGGGAAGGCTTTTTTTTTTTTTTCCTTTCTTCTTCTTCTTCCTCATTTTTCCTCCTTTCTTCTTGGTCCCAGTGTGGTACGCTCTCGTGCATGCTTTTATGTTACATGATTTTTCTCGTAAGGCTGCAGTCTCTTGCATTTTGAAAATATTTTCTTAGCACAGTTGCATTTAGTTTTGGGTAAAAGACTGTTTACCACCCTCATGTTTTGTGGTTTTCAACATTTAGTACATCAAGTTTTTTTCGTTTCAGATTCATACCTAAAGTGTAAATTTTGGGACAGTCTCATACATCTATTAGTCAAACTATTAAATTTACCGTTAATTGTGACGTGG